ATATTATAATTGCTGGAGACAGCCATGAATCACAGGGTCTATTTAGTGAAACGCCTCAAACTGCTTCTAATATAAAAATATGGGGGGAAAATATGAGGTGCTTTATACAAACATGGCTGCCAAATGAATGTAGCATAGAACACAATGTAAACAAAGACAGGTCTGGAAGGACTTTAATGTACTTGCATACAGCATGTTTGACTACTTCTATCTAACTAATGGTTCTATTAAATGGTCTAAATGGTCTGCACTTACACAGCGCTTTTATCCAAAGTGCTTTACAACGTGTTTCTCATTCACCCATTCACACACCAATGGTGACAGAGCTGCCATGCAAGGTGCTGCCTGCCATTGGGAGCAACTTCGGTTCAGTGTCTTGCTCAAGGACACTTCGACTGTGGAGGGGAGGGGGATCGAACCGCCAACAACCCGCTCTAGCACCTGAGCCACAGCCGCCACACAATAGTAGGTGGTTTAGTTTTAAAACAGAGATCCACAACTTTAGAGTGTGCAATAATAAAGGCAGAGAAGTGAAAGTTCTCAAGGAGGCTGCATTCGATCAAAACCTGTCAGCAGTCTGCACAGCATTAAACACATGGAGTGTGAAATGCTTCAGTCCAAGTGTCTACGCTGTGTGTAGCATGGAGCGCCTCACTCATGTGTTTGGGCTTTAGGATACTGTATTCTGTAAAATAAAAGTGTTTTTTTTCCCCAGCAATGATTTCATCTCCTTGCTATCGTGTTAAATAAACACATGATTAGGATGTTTGTGTTGCTACACTTGAACTGAAAGATTGAAAATGTGAGTAAACAAACACAGAAGCAGCAGCAGTTAACCAGAGAATGTGAAACTCGTGAGGAGGCCTCCTCTAAAAAGAAAAAAACATTTTGGAACCAAAGCCACAATGGCTTCCGGCAATGGAGAAAAGAAAACGTTGATGTTCTGTGATACCAAAGTATTTCTGGAATGGTACAGACGGCGTTTTTGGAGTTGTAGCAAGTTGTGAAAGGTGCAAAAAATTGGTGAAAAAAAAGGTTTTGTCCCAGGACAGAAGAATGAAAGCATAACTGAGCGGTAGTTTAGTGTTTCCTGGGATTCACAGCGGATGTTTGCGCCTCTTCCACAGTATCGTCATCAAAAGCAGATGGTCACAAGTTTCCATGTGAAGGTCACAGCTGGAGATGGTTTGTGTACAGCAGCGACAGAGGCGACTACATCCTCCCCCCAAAAAAAGCTACATCCAGTTTTGTAAGTACTGGATGAGTAAAAGGTCACCAAAGCCACCAAAGAAGAGCTTGTAACTTGGTGGGTGTGTATTTTTAATCTTCTCCTTCATGGTTTTTGTCTATCAAAACCTGATTTGATGAGTAGCACGACTGGAAGCACTACCTGAAAGTGACTTCAACGGGCTCAGTAAAGTTGTATTTAAATTTACCAGGGAAAGCCTAAAAACCTGGAACAAATCTTTCCTTAATTGTACAGCTCTGATAATGAAACTGCAGCAGAACATCAGCAGTGACAGAACAAGACTTGTGTAGTAAACGGGTCGTTCCATCTCAAACCATCACGTTTTCAGAAAAAAGTCTGCTTGAACATCACTCATTTGGCAGAATTTGTTATAGAGATATGTATAGAATTTTACCTTGATATATCAATTTATTTCCAAGACAAGAACTATTTAATAAATTGGTTATCAATCTGCACGTTTTAGCACATTGAGAATGACAGTATCTCAGGAACTGTAAAAGGTAAAACTGTAATTTCTCATCATGATAATTGATTTAGAATCTACAACACTAGCCCTGCAATAGACTGGTTACCTGTCCAGGTGTCCCCTGCCTTCGCCTAAGTCGGCTGAGATAGGCTCCAGCCCCCCCTGCGACCCTAGTGAGGATTAAGCGGAGTATAGATAATGGATGGATGGATCTACAATACTGGACAAGTAGCTCTAATCAGCTATGAGTGCTCAATCACCAATGAAAGCTACCGGTTACTGGAGAGCTAGTGAAAGAAAATATCTTAATCTTTTCATTTTTATGACCAAGTATTTCATTAAAAAAAAGCATTTTATATGTTTTGTTTTGTACTATTGTGACGTACAAATATGTACAGGTCAATAAATGATCACTAGTTAATATCTGCACTACAAATCTTTTGTTAATGTGTGAACAAAATGTGCTCAGAGACTTTTTCATATTTCAACTCACCCACAGAATCCATTTGATCTACTTGTATAAAGCTACAGATTTCGAATCAGTGGCATGATGAGAATCAACTGTTAGAAAGTCAGGCTTTTGTTTTTAAGAGTCTTTAAGATGTTGTCATTTAAACATAGCCTAAAAAAAAAACGTGCTGAAAGTGGGTCGATGGGCAATTCTTTTTAAAATATCTCAGAAAATACGTTACAGTTTCAAGAACTTTAGAGATGTTTGAGCAGAAAGCCCCTAAAGATGGAATAACACCAACACATGGAAGTCAGCTAAAGATCTGACTGAAGCTGCTCATCCGACACACTGACAAGTCTCTGAACACAGTAACATCTCCAGTCTCTGGCCTCCCCTTCTCATCAGGTTACTTTGGTAGATTTCACACTTCCAATCTTACAAACTGGGCACTGAATGCTTCAGTTCTTAATTTAACAAACACGCAAACACCCAGGTGTTAAGACAGTCGAGGCTCAAAGGTCACTGTCACCTCAAACCCATTACAACAGAACGAAGTGCTTCAAAGCTGTAAACCCAACATTTACCAGGGAAGTGAGACACCAAGAGGGCGTGTCCACCCAAGTGTATTTTTTCCTGAGGCCAATGCATTTTTTCAGTTGTTTGGCGTGGGAGCGCCACCTGTTTACACTACGCAAAAAACACCAGCAGCATAACGACACACCCTCCCTAACTGAGCACCTGGTTTTCTGTTTCTGGTCTATATGCTGCACTTCTGTCACTTTTTATCCAATAATTAACACAACGACCAACCGACCAGCTTCAGCTCATGAACCCAAATGATGGTACTGGCCGAGATGTTTCCTCGCCCGCAAAATCTCATGAACCCACCAAAGGGTCCATCTTTTCTCTCCATCTCTTCCCATCCAGAGTAAACCCTATATTTTTTTGCTGACATTGTTCATAACACAAACTACGGATTAAATCACGTAGCTACTTGCAACACACTATATTATTTCATATCACAGCAACTAAAGAAATGCAAAAATTTATGGATCTGGTTTTTTCAGATGGTTAAAAATAAAAAACACATTGGTGGCAACACAAATAAAATGGCATTTATGGAATGATGGGAGGAAATCACAAGCAACAAAACCATAAATGTTCATTTAGACCAAAGCCATCTGCCTGCTGCACCAGCTGCTGTGGAAGACAGGCAGCTGTGTCTATCGTAAATTCTGAAAATGTAAAAAGTTATGGTTAAATCTGACAAAATCCCTCAATGTAAATGAGGTCTAGTGTGTCTGTTTAGCTAGATAAGGCATACAAAACGCTGTCACTAACAGCAAAGTACACCTGTGAAATCTAAAGCGATCCAATAAAACATTTCTCCCATAAACTGCACTTTAAGAAGCGTCTTCAATTTCAGTTTTTGTTTACATTGTCAAAAAGGTGAAAACATCACATTTATAGCCGTTTTTACCTCTATGTACACCTGTTGTTGTGACAAATGAGTCTACATCACCATTTTGGCATGTCAAAGTAGTATAACAATGGAACCTTGGTTTGCTATATTTGCCACACATTAAATTCTATTGATGCTAAAAGCCTCAAAAATTGGTGAAATGTCAACAGAAGACTGTATTTTTAGTAGGAAATATGGATACATCCACATATATGCACTTACAGGAATTTTATTGGGCCACAATAGTACCTTAATTTAAAAATGTATGCAGTTTTTTCCCATTTTTAAAGGCCAAGAATTAAAAATTTGGCCTCGGTTGGAGTTATTTGACAATTTTGTTGCTGTTTTACTGAAGACACTGAACCCGAAATATGGTTTCATTTCTTCTGCCGTACAGATAATGTAATACATTTCCAAATCTCCATACAAGTGCTTCTAAATGAATATATAAACAAACTAACCTGCTCCATATCAACCTAAAGATGGTTCGTTCAATACAAATGGCCAAAATGTCTAGCAATGAAAAACTAAAATATGTCTTACAAACATTTTTTTGAACATCTTCCCATTATTTTCCTCTGTGGTTATTGTGGAATATGAATGCTTCGACAGGCCATCCTGATTCCTGTCGGACTGGTTAGGAAGCTGGACTGAGAGAACTAAATGTGCTGCTGCAGCTTGCATAACCTGCAGGTTGCCTGTTCAAAAACGGACAACAGCAGCACGGAGCATTTTCCAGCACGGTCAGAGAGCGGTAGGGAGCATCACAGGGTCAGCTGTCACAGCACCCTGTTGTCAAACTGAAAACTGCTGCTCTTTCTTTTGGAGAAATGCTGGGCTGGTGACCTCTAAAAGCAGCTGCTGTTTTGGGGGAGCGTAGGCGCATGCGCAGAGTGTCGTGGAGGCCCCACTACAGTAAAGTTACCCGGAATATGGCGCCTGATTTCCGGTCGTGTTTTTCGAACTAATTGTGAACATGTGCTCCCAATATCCTGTGGGCGTCGAAGTAGGCAAATTACAAAAGTAAACACAAGCAATGTATTTAACGGCTTACCTCTTCACGTATGTAATCTTAAACAACCCAAATATTGACTAACGGACACGATTTTGTAAAACGTACAAACATCCGATGTAAATTCACAGAGAGTTTATATTACGAACAATCAAATTCCCAAAAGGCCTTCAAGCCCTAGATTATCACTACTAATTTATATAAAGTTTGGATTGAAGAAAAAAGAGAGGACGGTTGCTCCAACAGTGTCAAACCGTGTGAAACCTTATTTTGAAGCTCCCGTGTCTCCACTCCCTGTTTCTTATCTGCCTTTTGCCATCTTGACGCAACTCGAGTGTCTGCTCCGTGGGTTTTACTCACCATTTCTATGATTCTGGTTTTCTTGCCCGCTCGCTTCTTCTTGGCGACAATGTACTGGGCCAGAACCACGCCGCCGAACAGAGCGCAGACGCTGGCGCTGGCCGCGGCCCCGACCTTCACCACAGCCGTCCTGTCCATGACGGTCCGCCGCTTCGCCTCCGACCAGCCCGCCGCCCGGAGAGTCCCGTCCTTCCTCCTGTCTGCAGCCGCCTTCCGACTGGTGCGAACACGCGGCCGAAGATCGTCTATGAAGAACAGGACCAGTCACACTGAGAAAAAACAAAAACAAAAAAATATAAAAACAGGAACAAGTGGTCCTAGTTTTGTACGTTGCCTAGCAACAGCGCTTAAGCTAGCAAAGTTGTCACGTATGCTAATCTCACATCTTTTTATATGTTTATTAAAACTAAACTGACCTGGTTACCACTAATGCCGGAGCACTTTTACAGTTAATACTAGCTAAAACTATCTGAGCTGTCCACGTGAAAATGTAATAATAATATTATTATTATTATTAATAATAATAATAATAATAATAATAATAATAATAATAATACAATAGTACATTTATTTCTAAAGAGCTTTCAGTCAAAGTGCTGTACACAGAGATTAAAGCAACTTGACAATAAAAAAAAAAAACATCAGAAATCCACAAGCACACTGTATCTATGACTTCTGCTTCAGGATTTTTTCTCTACTTCGTTAGACCCCTGGTTTTATTACAGTTTTCCAACCAAAACACTTCTGTTCATACATCAAATTTAAAATCAAAATTCATCATGAGTCAGTGTGTGTCATTTCTGATTGCTCTGTTTCTCCACCATCTCAGAGTTTTCTCAGAGTTTGCTTAATTTGTTGTTTCAGATCAAAAACCAAGCTGAATTTTTTGAGAAAATTTTGACAATCTAATATTATTAATTATATTAATATAGCCATGAAATTTGGTCAGGACACAGACAGAGTTGTTTCCACTAGATCTAAATGATTGTACGGCTCCGGCTACGGCCACGGGTTTGATAATCGTCCCCTTGAAAATGAAAAAAAGTACAACAGTTTCAAAGGATTGTGTTTTTGAGGCCCAAAAAAATTCCTGTAAGTGAAAATATATGAAAGTATCCATATTTTCGACTAAAACTACCTATTTGGTCAACACATCACTGATTTTTAAGGCCCTTGTAGTTTTTGTGGTAGTTTTTGGCCTGATCAAAATACCACAAAACTGGAACTGAAACCATATTTGCCACATGTCACATTATTCTGATGTTAGAGACTTCAAAAATCAGTATTAGGTCCACCAAAAACTTTATTTCTGATGACTTTATGTCTGATAAATCCATTACGTACCCTTCTCTGTGTCCCCAATACCACCTTTGTTTGAAAACTTTGTTCTTTTCCCATTTTACGGGGTCAATAATTAAATTATTGATATTGAATCATAGATATGGCTTCCCACCTAAGATGTTTATTTATATCATATTATAATTTCCCAAATTTTATTCATCTAAAAGCTTTTGTTGTATAAATTAATCATTTATTCTTTTTTTTTTTTTATTTGCTGGATTGCTTCAGATCACAAAGAGACTGTGCTTTCTCTTTGTGTCGAAGTTTTCAATGCAAAACAAATAGATTTTGAAAAAAGAAAAGAAAAATAACTGATATGGAAATGACTGATAGCATTTGTTGTACATTGAGCTGATGTGACAAATTTATTTGGAAATCTTTGGTTTATATTTTACGTTAAACCTCAAATACAGCACTGTTAAATTACCAAGAGTTATGTGTTTGGGAATTCCCACTGGTACAAGAATGTCAAATGAGACCAAACTGCAAGAGATAAAGCGCAAACTCAAGTGTGAGCCTCCTCGTGCTGCTCATCTCTTCAATAGACAATCTTTGTCACGTGTACTCAGTTGGTTCTCTGCCTCTGACGTCACTGGCCCCGCCCTCAGTGTGGAGGGAGAAGCTCCCAACCATCAGCCTGAACTGAGCACCTTTTAAAATCATTATTATGTCTGAGGTGATGGAAGCATACATGAGAATGAAAGCTGATGAGTTTCAGCTCAGCCTGCTGATAGCGGTGCATGCTGCTTCATTTGTGCCACTCACTGAGCTATCCTCCTCCTTTCCTTTCTTACATGTGTGTCCTTGTAAACCGATAAGGATTGAACAGAACATGCAGATATCTGTAGGAAAGTGTGCATGAAAGTGTGATAGGAAGACGTGTTGGTGAATTCTAAAGTAGATAAGAGAGCGCTTCTTGAGAGAAAGTTCATTGTAGTGAAAGTAAGAATAGCTAATGCCCCTACAGGGACGTGACACAATGCAGCACACAAACACAGATGCAAGACATTTTGGATCTGGAGTGAAGGCAGTTTAATCCATTTATTTTTCAGCTGCAAAAACTCCTGTGTCACTTGAACATGGAAACGAAGAATAGTAAAATAAGTTGTTTAAACACAAGTCAGTTTGTTTCAAGCTCCCTCCATCTTGTGACCTCATCTTTACTCTTGTGTGTTTCATTCCAAACCAGGTATTTAAAGCATTAGTTCAAACCCTTTTTTTCACCAAAGCTTTGCTTATTTGAATTCCTTCTTCATAGATTGTATATGTTCATATCAACCAAATATTTTTGGAGGTCTGTTGATAAAAGGTAAAACAATCCTGGAACTAGAAGAAGAAGAAAAAAGCAAAAATCAGAGGCAAGTCTGAAATATCAAACCTAATTTTGTGAATCACACATTTGTGTTTTTTATGTCCCAGCTCCCTCAAATGCATCTTGGTGGAGGTCCCCAGATTGCTGGCCATGGTTTTAAAGATACAACTACAAACTCTACACTGGGCTGGGGTGCATTTATTTACATCTGCAAATACCCTTTAATGTTTAGTTGTTGTTTTTCCAAGGAATTGTCCCTCAAGTCAAATAAATGAAGCATATTTTCACAAAAAGGTAAAATTCTTGTAAATTATGGGAACTTTATTTTAGTTCACATCATGTCTGTGAAGATTCTCAGTCATCCAGGTCATGATCATACTCATAGTTCAATCATAGCAACTGGACTTGCTTGACCTCCTTGAAGACGTTTCACCCCTCATCCAAGAGGCTTCATCACTTCTGACTGACTAGTTCCTTAAGGACCCAGTAACACTTGAGTGTCTCAAGTGGAAATTCCAGATACTTATATTCTCCCAACTAGTCAGTCAGAACTGATGAAGCCTCTTGGATGAGAGGTGAAACGTCTTTAAGAAACTTAAGCATGTCCAGTTGCTACGATTAAACTACGAGAATTCACTTCACATCATTTAGAGAAGATTAGATAGCAGAACAAGTGAGGGCTTGAAAGTTTCAAAGCCCTGTGTCTGCAGCGTGTCCTGCACTGATCTCATTTGACTACTACAAGAAGGGAGATTGAGTTAAAACTTTATCTGTTCACACGCTTACTGAAGTAGCCTCCTAATTTGACTGCTGTATCACTCTCTCTCGTGTATCAGTAGACAGAACAATGTAAATGTCTCTGCTGACCTTTATGACATCCCTATCTGGAGGTATTTCCAAGTAAAAGAATTTAAATTCCCTTATCTTTTATTGTGCTTATCAGGGTAAGCCTGAAGGTGTAAAAATGTACTTTGAAACTGGGTACTGAAGTTGTATTGGAACAATATAAGCATTCACTTTATATGTCAGTAGGTTTAATGTAGTGACAGATCTGTTGGATGTAGTATTTAGTGCACAACACACAACTTGGTAATAAACCAGATGGACTGTGTCTTTTTTTTTCTTTTTCTTTGTCACAGATCATTCAGGATGCTGCTATGCTAGGATACTGCAAAACTGACCACAGCTGCAATATTCCAGAACTATATATTTTTTAAATGATGCACACAGAATGGGATTTAACTTGTGAACTGTCCTTAAAACAAAGACATCCATCCATTATCTATACAACGCTTAATCCTCATTAGGGTCGTGGGGGAGCTGGAGTCTATCCCAGCTGACTCAGGGTGAAGGCAGGTTCACCTGGACAAGTAACCAGTCTATCACAGGGCTACACTTAGAGACAGACAACCAAGCACACTCACATTCACACCTACGCACAATTTAGAATCACCAATTTTCTTTTTGGACTGTGGGAGGAAGCTGGAGAACCCGGAGAGAACCCACGCTGCACAGGGAGAACATGGAGACTCCACGCAGAAAGATCCCGGGTGTCCTCACTGGGATGTGAACTGACGACCTTCTTGCTGCGAGGCAACAATGCTAACCACCGAGTCACCTTGCAGGTATCATGCACAATTATACAGCAAAAAATGCTTTAAAATCCCTAAACGATGTGATGCTTCCTCACAAAGAACAAGTCTTTGTGTGTCACTGTGCAGAACAGAACTGAAATCATCACACAACACAGACACGTCATGGCCTGTTAGATCATAAGATAAATGGCTGTGATGGGTCAGTGCAGAAGGAGTGCTCCACTTAGATTAGAGAGCACAAGACCTACAAAGTTATTTCACTTTTCTCTTTTTTCAAAACATTGTCACGTCTTGCGCACAAAACAAATTAATACATAACTGTGCCAAGTTTCACTTTATCATAAAAGATCATTTCAGGACATCAAACAAAACCTTAAAAGGACAGGTGCTGTTGGCAATGTCCTCTAAAGCTATTGTTTGAATACCATAAAAGGGGAAGTTTAACTGAAACGTTATCTGAGTGGTTCATCAATACACATATTCAAATGAGCTCTGAATTTGACTGCTGTGCACGAGTGACTTCTGCAACATGATTATCTTTGTCCGTTTCCAGTGAAGAGAATTTGTATCATTTATTGCATCATTCATAATAACGTTTGAAATCGACATCTGTGTTAAGCAAAGCAGAGTACGTTGAAGCTGGTAGGATGTTTGGAGATTAAACTTGAGATATTCTGGTTGGAGTCAAGCTGCACTGTGGACTTTATAACACCATCCTCTTTATTGTAATGATAGCAGGCCTAAGCTTCTAACTCACGAAAGCCAATTAAGGGGTATTACTGTTGTTTTGTTGGCAGAATGAAGTCAGTGAAATGCTACAGTCTCATGTCTGCAGGTCTCTCCTTGTAGATTAAAATAATGCTCACTGAAATCTACTGATTGGACTACATTTACTGAGCAAACACCACAATGCAGAATTCAGCTATCAAAACAAGAAAATATATCACTTTTTACCAACGCATTTCATTGCGCGTTATATCATGTATAACTATGTTTGTGACCAATAAAAAACCTTGAAACTTAAAATAAGCAAAATGACCTGCCAACAGAACAAAAAAGAAAATCATTTGCCAAAACATTTTTTGAAACCAGAAAAATGATGTCATTTAAAAACACACACGTATCTTACAACTACATGACGTGACTTGAAACTAGTGCATCGTCTCAGTACGGTGCTGACCACTGAGCTACCTTGCAGCCCTTGAGGAAAACATGCTTAATTTAATTCTAAAGGTCAATTTAAAAAAAGCCTTAAGGACAAAAATGTCCTCATGGGCGCATGAGGGTTAAGAATGCAGAGCTACACAACTAATTAATGCAACAGTTTGCATCATTCTTTCTGAATTTTGACAACTTCTTATGAAATTATGTTCAGCTAACAAACTACTTTAAGCTGGGGAAAGAAGCTCCACTGCAATCAAAGGTATTGTCAGTTACCACTTGCTTAAACACTGGTAGCATAAATGCAAGTTTTTAAGTTGATTACTCATTATTTATTTATTTATTTTTTTTTTTAAAGCATTGTTACTAATTACTACAATTACACAAGTTTTGAGTTGGCAAAACTTGAGTTGCTCCAGCGTTCTTAAAGGTTCTCTAATTAGTTCTTGGATCAGTTGATTCTTACAGTTCTGTTACTGGGACAGACTGGCGATGCAAGAAAATTCTATTTGGTCATTATTAGTTCGTAATAGGTGTAGAGATTAAAAAAGAAAGAAAAAGTATCATTCAAATGAGAGTGGGGACAGCCGTGGAACGCATGGGCCGGACAAAGCTGTGATACCATCAGGTGTGCTGCTCAGAACTGTATATAAGACGATGTCCTGCTGTGCTCCAACAGGCTTCGTCCATCTCGCTGAAGAAGGTAAGACCTCTAAATAATTATCTTCTGTTTGGTGAACAGATGCAGGCTAACATCTGATTTTCGTGCACTAAATTATAACTGAGGTAAAAAGTTCAAGATTGCTCGAGAAATGCTTCGAAAATATGTCAAAATCTTCATGTTATCATCTTACTAAAGAATTGTTCATAATGCTTCAAGTGTGAAAACATCTGTGTTTACTTTCAGGGTACAAAGTGACTCA